CACCTCAGCCTCCCAAGGTGAGGGATTACAGGCTGAGCCACCGAGCCCGGCTTCATTTTTTTTTAAGTTGGAGTTTGTCACCCAGGCTGGAGTGCAGTGGCAAGCTCATGGCCACCGCAGCCTCAACCTGCTGTACTCAGGTGATCCTTCCGCCTCAGCCTTCCCAATAGCTGGAACCACAGGCATGCTAATTTTTTGATTTATTGTAGAGACGAGGTCTTGCCAAATTGCCCAGGCTAGTCTTGAACTCATGGGTTCAGGCAATCCTCTTGCTTCTGATTCCCGAAGTGCTGGAATTGCAGGTATGAGCCATCATGCCTGGCTAGTTCTCATTTTAAATGGCCATGTAATATGTATACCAGCACCTACCTCACGGGGCTGCCATGAGGACTAAGTGGGTATGTGCTCGGTCACCGTTGGCATAATTGTCTTGTGTGGAGACCAAGTGATCTGGCTTACTGATCGATGGCTGGGTCCTAAGTGCCCCTAACAGAGCTGGTATACAGGTGATGGTCAGGTGTTTGTTGTGTGAACCCCTGGGGGCTACATGGAAAATCTCTCCTCTAGACTTTGCTAATATGGGCTATTCTCTTTTTAGCATTGCCAAGGGTATGATGTCAAGGTCATGGTACCCTGCTTCACTGATCTGCAAGAATGGCCCTGTGCTTGGATGTTCCTTTAGCTCCTGGTTTTGCTGGCCCAGTAAAAACATTCACTAGTGACCAGTTCCTTCTATGTCCCCATTAACTGGTGACTCCTGGATGGCAAAGTACACAATTGTATGCCCAGGTGCCAAGCATGCAGATTAGCACATCACACCTGAGGTCCAGTGAGGAACAACTACATTCAGACCGGCAGTGTGAGAGGTCTCTTTGGACTTTAACTGCCCTACGTATGCTGCTCTGAAACCTTCACTTTACTGAGTTACTTACCATTGACATTGCTGCCACTACTGACATCACACATGTAGACCCCTCGATCAGAATCCAAACCCCATTTACTGTCCTTCACCCTTGGGCTTAAGACTCCAAGCACTTCCAGTTTTCCCAAGTTGTCTCTCACCCGAGTTGTCTTCATAACCCTCAGGGTCCTGTGAAGCTACAATTTGCCCTGCCATACTCCACAGCCCTATGCTCCCACAACTGCTTTGGAGGGACCCAGAGGTCTTCCAAATGGGGACTTGAGGCTCAATCACTACTCTACCACAATCTTGGGATCTGTCTGTGGCAAGAAATGATTCAGTCTGTACCCAGAGAGGAAGAGGCGAGCTGAAACTGCCAGGATTTTCCACTTTCCTCTACAGGGATCATTTACAGGTGCGTTCTCCTGACAGGCAGAGAGAAAAAGGGCAAGAGCCCAGTCTAGCCAGTGGAGCTTTCACAGCCCTCTCAAAGAGGGGGCTCACCAGTAGGAAGGCACTCAACTGGTGTTCACTGGCTAGATCCCTCTGGGGCTCAGGAGACTACTTATACCCTTTGAAGACTCTTTTTTTTGAGTTGGAGTCTCACTCTGTCACCCAGACTGGAGTGCAGTGGCATGCTCCTGGCCACCGCAGCCTCGACCCACTGGGCTCCAGCAATCCTTCCGCCTCCGCCTTCCAAGTAGCCAGAACTACAGCGCGTGCTACCACGCCTGGCTAATTTTTGATTTATTGTAGAGATGAGGTCTCGCCAAGTTGCCCACAGGTTGAGGCAATCCACTTGCCTCGGCCTCCAAAAGTGTTGGGATTACAGGCTGAGCCACCAAGCCCGGCTTAAAGAAAGACTCTTAACACACTTTTATAATTGGAAACTTACAGTTTATTTTGAATTAACTACTCAATTTTGAGCAGATGACACTGCCTCAATAAATTTTTTCTTTGAAGAAAAACAAAGTAAATTCATGAAAATACTGTGTCTTCCTTTCTCTTCTATCCTTTGTAGGGTAGAAAAATTCTGCCTGACCTTCCCCATCTTCCTGATAATGTTAACAAAGGACAGCCACTGGGAGCACAAAAGAAGCTCTCCACAAGTCAAAAGCTATAGGCTATATGGTCTGGGCACAGAACCATCTGCAGCTCCAGTGGCCAGGGCCACAGCTGGACACAAGTGCAGAACCTGGCAGTCATGCAGTCCTGAAAATACCCAGGGTATAACTTTAGGGTACAAAGCTGCAACTCAGCTCCTGTGCCATGGCAGTGCCACAGAAGGAACTCGATGGAGAAGCAAAGGCTTCAGATGCCAAAATGTTATTGTGCCAACACAGCATTTATACCCCACCTTGAGGTCCTGCAGCAGGTGCTCTCCTCATTCACAATCAACTCCCCATCGTTCCACTCTGGGTTCATTTGCTGCACTCTTAACTTGTTCTCCCAATCCACCCCACAGTTCCTCCTTTGCTGGGGACAACAAGACGAGACAAAAACTGGGGAGAAAGGGAACCTGCAGCTAGCTATGTACCCCAAGACCCCAAGAGTCGCAGCTGCCCTCTGTCTTCAATTTTACGGCTTACATGGTACCTGGGAAATTGTTCAGTAGAGGTGAAATGTATGAACAGCAAATAATTTCTACCCCAATATCCACAGATCTCCCTATTAGCTCCCCCAGGGGGGGCGAGGAGAACTGGGTTCAGAGTGGAGGCACCGAATGAAACTGCAGAAAACCCAGAGATCAGAGATCTAACAATTTTTTGTTGTTGTTGGAGTTCTACAGTCACGGCTACTGCAGCCTCAACCTGCTGGGCTCAGTTGATCCTTCTGTCTCAGGCTCCTGAGTAGCTGGGACTACAGGCATGTGCCACCACACCTGGTAGCACTTTTCAAAGACTAGCAGGACCAGGAGCAGGTCAGGTACAGCACCATACAAACCACTTGCTCCCTTGCACTTAACAGTGCAAAAACGAGTCCTTTTCTCTGGCCAGCCCCTCCAATACTAGAGCTGGGACCTCAAAAAGGATTCTCCTAGCCTTAGACTCCCAGGCCCTAGATAGAGGTATCTTCTGACAGCTGGAACCAGGCAACACATCTTACCCTCAGAACAGCTGTTGGACACACTCTAGGTAACATGGAAATAACTTGTGCAAGCCTGGCCGGAGTCAAGAAGGCCAGTGCCTTTGGGAGGGCTATGCTGAACTCTGACCCTGATGTTTGCCAGAGAATGCAGCAAGAGTATCAGGCATGGCTGCATGTGACTCTGGTCAGTGTTACACCACTTGAATACTGGCACAAAAGAAGAGACCAAGGTAAAGCAAATTTATTTGGGGGGGTAACAATTCCTTTCAAAAGTGGATCTCCATCTTTAAGAGACAAAAAGAAATTGCTAAATCTATGTCCCCTAGTCAGGGGGACCACAAGCTCACCTTTGTTCTGCTGTGGGCTCTGGCCTGGCAGCCAGACCCAGGTGAGCTTCACTTTCAAGAATATAGATGAGCCCACAACAAGAGACAATAACACCCCATGGCCAGAAGACCCCATTCTGTACTGTCTCCTTACTGCCAAGGTGAGGCAGGAGGCATGTGACTCCCTGTGCTCCATGCCCATTGCACAGACCAATTCAATTCCTCATCATCTGCCACTCATGCCCTTCCCTTGGGACTCCAGCTCTGGCCAAATACATGAATTAGGAAAGCAGAGGCCACCCCGGGGCCCTCTTACAGTATAGACATTCCAAGGCAGGTAGGTGGGCAGCATGTGTTACATTCTAAGTGAAATAGCTAGAGGGTAAAACACTCCAATGCCAATTTATTTTTTAAAATGGCTCTGTGTTATCCTATGGTTTGCCTTTTTTTCTTTTTGTATAATTGTACAACCTTTGAAAATTACACAAGGTGTAATGATCTAATACTATTAACAGCCATTCAGAAAAAAAACTATCCCTCCCTCCCAACAACCATCCAGGGGGATTTAAAAGTCCTGAAAAGAAGTCAATTCAATATGACCTCTACCCTGGTAGAAACAAAAAGTGAAAAGATGAGAAGAAAACAGAAATTGACTAAGAGGTGTTGCCAGTGTGTCTCAGGAGTGGGGCCCTGGCTGTCGCCTGGGGTCGTGAAAGGCAGAGCCTGCAGCATGCAGTATGACAGCCGGGAGATCTTGCAGCCGTATCTTCCTCATCCCGGCATGACCATGTCCCAACTTAGGTATCATGGAAATCCTTCAGCAGGGTTCTCCTCCGCTGCTCTGCTATGTGCATCTGGTTCTCCAAGTCCTGTACCAGAGAAGCAAGATGGGTACTTGCACGGCCCAGCTCCAGGAGAAGGGAGTAGCCAAAGCCACACACACCACGGGGCCTCCAAGGAGTCAAAAGCATTGCCTCTCAGCAGTTACTTCCAGTGTACATGCCAACAACTCTATTACCTATTAGCACACCAATCCTCCCTTACCTGTAATATAGGGTCCAAAGACAGCAGGCACTTACCCCTCTGTCATAGCTGTCTGCACGCTCCACTTTCCATGACAGGTTTTCGATCTCAGCCTCCAGCTGAGCCTGCTGGTATTCAAACTGTATAGGTAGAGCAGGAGGGTCAAAAGGTGAGGGGGCTGTAGCCTGAGCAGGGCCTGTAGATGGGGGGAGGGGAGGGCACATGCAGCACCTCAGGCTCACAGGAACAACAGACAACCCTGATACTGTTCTAGAAAATAGTGTTATTTATTCCCTGTGCCCAAAGTGAGAATCCAAACAAAAGGCTACACAGAGTATGGCCAAATGGCAAGGCCACACTCAACCTCCATCTCCAAAGAAAGGGGAAGAATTTAAGCCACTAAAGAAGGTGGGGTGTGGTGGCTCATGCCTGTAATCCCAGCACACTGGGAGGCCAAGACAGGAGGAGCATAAGGCCGGGGGTCCAAGATCAGCCTGGGCAATAAAGCACACAACAACAACAAAAGAAGCCACTAAAAAGAATGCTTCCCATATGTAGGAAAACAGATGTTGCAAAAAGTAAAAACAAATATTCTCAGACACTTTATTCACCAAATACTTTTCATTTTTTTCAACCCTTTTGTAAATCAAGTCTTTAAAATATTCAAACTCAAATACTGGCTTCATAATTATACATCTAAGGAGATATAGCTTTATGCACAAAAAATTTTCCTCAATGTCCTATTGATAATAGTGAAAGAAACAATAAATGTCCCAAATGATGGTACAACTGTATAGTGGAACATTTATGCAGCCATTAACAAAATGGATGCCGGGCTTGGTGGCTCAGCCTGTAATCCCACGCCTTTGGGAGGCTGAGGTGAGTGGATTGCCTGAGCCCGCGGGTTCGAGACCTGCCTGGGCAGCGAGACCTCATCTCTACAATAAATAAAAAAAAATCAGCCAGGTGTGGTAGCACATGCCTGTAATTCCGGCTACTCGGAAGGCTGAGGTGGAAGGAT